AGCAGATTGAAAATCAGTCTATCCATTTTTAATTTTTTTTCCAAAACAGTACAAAACAGTAGGCACCACCTAGAAAGAGCTGTGGCTGTGGTACAGACACTCCACACAAGTGTGGCACACTGCTTCAAATACTTAACCAACCTTTTGCAACTCAGGAGTTTGAACCAGGGTCTCCCACACGTGAACCAAATCCCTTGACTAACAACAGATGGGGAAAGAGGATAAGAAATAACCTATGCCTTTTGTGTTGTTCTGATAGGCTTTTTTTGAGGCTGACAAAGATTTTCCTGCATAAACTTTCCTCAAAACTGGGACATTCACATAAATTAATTTGACTTTAACAAACTGGAATGTGATGGTTAAGGGCTATTTCTTAAAAAACCAAGTACTCTGACCCTAGTGCCCAAGGAGGAAATTACTATTGTCATTTTAAAGATGAGGAAATCAAGGTCTGGGGAGGTCTTGTGACCCAGAAGAGTTCAATGTGGACAGTCCTGCTCCCAGTATCCTAGTCTGGCTAGTCAGTAATACTCCCAAACCCAGATTCCCAAGTTGCTGGAGAGAAAGCATGTATAATAAAACCCAGGAAATTGTTCAGCTACACTGGAAACTTCTGTCACTTTAGTTTCACAAAGAACTACCACAAGAATACATCAAAAAACAATTCCAATTAGGGGTGTAGATAAGTTTTTAGATCTTCCCTGAATAGAAAGAAAAAGAACTTTGAATATGTCTTAACTTACATATTCAATAGTGACTGGTCACAACTGAAATATATTCAAGCAAGTTCCTTCAAGGTCACTTGACCTAAGCCCAGACTGTTCACGAAGTGTTCTCTAATTTGAAAAAAAAAAAAAAGAAAAAAAAAAGATATTTGCACAAGCTAACAGGCACTATAATTAAAAAGTCTACAGGTCCACTAACTCATGAAAGTGGCACATGTGAGAATTAGGTGGCTATACATACAGGCAAGTGCTCCCTCTGTAACATTTAGGACACTAGCTGACAAGGAACACCAGTGCTTTCAATGGTAATTGCACCAATATTTTGAGGCTTAACTATACACACAAGAGAATAGTGAAGCCAAGACAGGGTAGACCAAATGAGAAAAGTTTGAAACACAATCTGAAATCAAACTCAGAAGCCAAACTAACACAATCATCCATGTGAAACAGCTAAAGTATTTTCAGATTAAATAATTGGCTGCTGTTCTTTTTAACACACCAAATGTAATATAAAAACCCATATATCCCATGATGCATTTTGCATTACCATATGATCTATCTAATCCTATAGCACATTGCTGGGTCAAAATGACCCAGCCAACATCTTGCAGTGGTCCCTAGTGATTTTCTCTTATATCTGTACCATACTTGTGTCTTGGACCTACGTGGCTCCTCTTTGCATGTGACACCAATTCCTTTCACTAAGCACGTACAAGGTCTGAAGAGATTTTAGGTACAAAATGGTTACTTTTCTCTTTTTTGGGTGTGTTTGTTTGGTTGGTTTGGTTTGTTTTTTTGTTTTTTTGTTTTTGTTAGAGTAAACCCAAATGGACATATTTAAAGTTCTTCTTGCTCTTTTCCATAGCATTTTACAGTAAACTTGGGGGGTGTAATTCTACTTTTTAATTTACACATTGAATGACCTTACTGGACAGACAGTATTTCTGTGTGGCTTTGAGAATACCCCAGAGGAAAAAACAGAGCTCTTAACACTGACAGTATTTCAGCAGTTGTTTGACTTATTAGGAATCCAGCAATGTCAACTGATAGCATCTGCACTATCCCTTTCTTCCCTGCATTCCAAATCCAGCTAGCTAGAAAGATGTGTAGAAGGTAAATAAATACGGGGCAAGTGCTATGGTGATGAAAGAGAGGAAAGCTTCTACCCTGCTGAAAAGCCCTGGATACATTTGAAAGATTTGGCTCAGTACTTGCTAAGTGCTTGTCCTCTCTTTGCAGACTCCGCCAGGAATGGACTCTGCAGTTGGAAGGTCGAGCAAGGCAGGTCCAGGCACCCACGAAAACACTGAAAGAACAGATGACGCCACTGTCCATTGAGGCTCTTCCCTTACCAGATAAAACTGCTGCTTAAAGTTCCTGTGAAAATACAGAAAGCATTGGGCCTGACTCTGACCTTCTGCTTGCACCTATAAACCAGCAGTTATACTGCTCAACAAGCAAAAGGTCAGAATCTGGCCCTTTTCCAAACTACTTACTAGATAAATACTTACCACTAATAAAGTCCTACTGAAATTCAGTGCAAGAATAAGGTCACAGTACATAATCTTAAAAAAAATGCAAAGGGATCGATGAGAAGCAGACACCTTTAATCCTCCATGATATCTTACTACTGTGATGCAGCAGGACTTTATTATGTAACACCACATTTCCAAGTGGCAACAACATATTTCTAGGAAAGAGGATTGCTTGTTTAATAGGAATAATACATTCAAGCAGCTGCATACAAAATTACACTCTTCCATTTACAGAGCTCACAGAGTCTAGTTTAATGCAGGTATAAGCTCTTCTGCCTGTCTTGATGAGCCACAGTGAAGGGAGTTAAGGATTGGACTGATCAGCTGGATATAAGGAGAAATATATCATTTAATGGAATCAGGAAAAAAAAATGAGCTTTTCTGATCAACATATAAGAGAATTATGGCTCTTAATCATGAAATGAACAGGGAAAAGGATTTTTATTTTTGTGGGGTAGGTAAGAAAAAGGCTACTGAGGTTATTATGAACCAGTCTGAGAAACGTCAGAGCAAGTGAATATGAAAGAGAGTTTGAACTAGAAGGCAGTGAATCAGTTCAGCGTAACAGCACAGGAATGCTTTGCAAGGTATCACTTGCCATACCTGATGTGCACTAATCCAAACACATGCTGCATTTCATCTTCTAGGTCACGTGAAATACAGGCAGGAATAATTAAACACAAGGTAATAATAGTGTGTTCTGTTTACCTATATGTCTGTGTATCTAAATACCATACCTTTTAGATTAAAATATTTACTTGTTATCTCTTCAATTAATTTTCTTATATATAAGAGAAGAGTCAGAAGTCTAAACAACTCTTTTTCTCTAACAATATTGAGTCAGATGGACTTTTACCTTGCAACTTTGTTTACAGTGAAGAAGTAGATAGGAATACATTTGATAAATTTCAAAACAAAACAAAAAGTAAACCATTTGACCTCACAGAAATGTGCTTCTTTATCTTTCTAAAACATTTAAACAAGGACTTGGGAGTGGTGGTGA